TAGCATTATATACACGTTAAAAATGATGCTTTGCTTTCAAAATCAGCAATTATACTTTCAAGATGCTTTGCTTAAGATAATAACAGGGTTAAATACCTAAAAATCGAATTTAAAGAAATTTTAAAGTGAAAAGTAAATAAAACAGTAATTTTATTTTTTAAATGTATATTTTTCTGTCACTCCTTAATATATATATTAAGATTTAAAATAAAAAAGTTTTCTGAAAAAGAGAAGGAAATGGAAGAGAAAAACACCTTTAACAGCTAAACAATGCTTGATGAAAGATAAAGAAAAAGAAAAAGGAGAACAAATACGAAAAACAACAATACGATGAAAGAAAGAAGCAAGAAAACCTAAAAATTATAAGAAGTTGTACATGGCGAATAAAAAAGATATCTAATCATTGTCTCTTCAGCTTTTCCACCTTCATACAAAGTACTCGCACCAAATTAATGAATCTTTATGTTAAAAAAAAAACATGTCAGTACCAAGTAAATGACAACACAAAACCTAATAAATATACGACTACCAAATTTTCAAAGGGGACATTTTCGCAATTTCTCTAGAGTTTTGTTTTCTCAAATATATAAATTGATAATTTAAGGGTTAAATATGTTTTTAGTCCCTAAACTATTGGCCGTTTTTGGTTTTCGTCCCTCTTTCAAAGTAAGGTACAATTTGGTCCTCATTCTTTTCGAAACGTTCGTTTTAGTCCTCGGAATTTTAGTTTTAGTCTTCATTTGTTACTAAATGAGGACCAAATTTTTAAACAGTGTTTAGTTTTTTAGGACTAAAACGAACGTTTCGAAAAGAATGAGAACCAAATTGTACCTTACTTTGAAAGAGGGAGGAAAACCAGAAACGACCAATAGTTTAGGGACTAAAAACATATTTAACCCATAATTTAATTTATATTTTAATTAAATAATATAATTTAATATAATATTATTATTTAGTATGTAGAAGGAATACATTCTCGAAAACATTTTTTTCATGCAAACATTATCCTGCGATTTTAATATTTTATGAAAAATAATCTCCTGCGAAAAGAAATTTTAAAAAGATATAGTTATATAAAAAAAAAGTTGAATTACCATTAGACAATTTTAAGGGATACAATACAACCAAGTGGGGTTCTAATTCCTCTACCTCATTATTTTTCTTCCTGCAACCCCCTAATTTTTTAAATGTTAATTCTACCCTCTTGAGTTAATAATATAAGTTGATTTTATTTGGTTGTCCTTCTTTCATAATTTGAAATCCCTATTTTCGCTGCATATCCCTCATCCTATCATATGCTTTTTCATTGTTTTCCTACACATAATGTCCTCCTCAACATCATGCGTCACCTTGCACCATGTCTCCCTATGTACTGTTCGTTGAGGTAAGAATCCAACACCATGATTCTAATCAAAGAAAAAGACATTGAGAGTGAGGTGCATGCATTTCTGCATTCACTATTTTGGAAAATAATTTTTATCCATTGCCAAATTTTATCCGGTGTCCATCCCAAATTGGTCAAAAAGAAGAGTAGGACTCTTGTGTTGTGCATGGAAGAAACACAAAATACATCCTTTCTTAATTTAAATATTTTAAATACCAACGAAATTTTCTGAAACAGGTGTTTCAGAAGTCATTTATAAATTCAGAAATATATTCTGAACATCTGTTCTGAATTTTTTTTTCATAATGATAGTTGCTGAAGATATTTTTGGATTCGAAAATATCTTTCAGAACAGTCATTCTGGAACAGGTATTTCCGAATATATTTTCATATACAAAAATATATTTTGAATTTTTTTTATTCCAGATTGAGTGCTTTGGAATATAAGTTTTTTTTTGGAATAAATACTTCAGAAAGTATTCTCAGATTCAAAAATACCTACACTCATTTCCAAAAAAAATTATATTCTAGATTAAATTTTTTGCAAGTCATTTTACTAATTTGAAAATATTTTCCAAAAAAATCATTCCAGAAAATGTTTAAATTAAGAAGGTATAGGGATTCTTATTATATTTTTAACGAGGAATAATTTGGGAAGTTCAACTTTTATGGATGTTCAGGAAGAAAAGCAGGGGGAGGTGCAGGAAGAGGCAGTTCTAATTGATTATTTTCTTGGATAATAAGTGTACGGCCCAAGTTGTTACATGCCATAAAATTTGGAAGAAGTGCAGGTCCACACACGAAAATATGGAATTGGAATAGAAATGCTGGATAAAAGAATAGTATATATGCTTATAATATAAATAGTTTTTTAAATTATTATCTAATAATAAATTTTATAAATAGTGATATCTTTAATTTTTATATAAACAGTTATTATGTTTAATACTTATTTATTTTAAAAATCATTCCAGCAATATTTTTTAATTGTGTAACAAATAGTGAAAAATAAAGTACCGTTGATATAAAAAAGTTGACAAAGTAAAAATCATCTGACCAACAATCAAATTGAAAACAACAATAAGAGAAAATAATATGTAGTTAGAATTTAATCTTTTCATCTAAAATTTTTCACAAGGATACTTTTTTTATTTATTACAAAAATTGGATATGAACACATGAATTTGAATGAAACCGTGAATACATTATTAAATATTAGAAAATCTTTTAATTGAACACAATGATTCATCTTTATGTTCTTTGGTAGAGTTTATTTATCCCGATTTCTTGTGTAACATGATGAATCTTGTTTTTTTTTTCTTATGATGAAACATACACTCTATAAAACAAGTGAATGTTATTTCTGCGGCAATAATTACAAGTTAGAACATTAGTGATAAAATATTTATACCAATTTCTCTTTTGATTCTAGATCGTCTTTCAAGTTTCAAAGGATACAATTTGTTATATATGTTTATGTTTTATAATAATAATTAGCATGAGTTAAGACAATCTCTCTCTAAAGTTGGATTTTATCTTTCGTGTTTAGTATTCACATATGGTCAATTATATATAGTGGTTTTTAGAGTTGAAACATAGAAAGTATTGAAGATACTCATTCTAGATCAAGATGAAAATGTAATCACTACCGCTACAAATGTAGTTTATAAAAATGTATTTGAAAATCTTTAAAATAAAGTTTATCTTACCTTGGTCATGAATGAGGTATACAAATTACTCTAATGCTAATTCAATTCTTGTTTATGTATTTATTGTATATCGATTTTGAAATTATAAAATTCAAATGCATATAGCTCATTAATTTGTTTTGGTTAAGATGATCGTATAGTAAGTTCATCATATTTATCATCTATATTTAAAGTACAATATTTATTTTAGACTCGTTTAATTACTTATAATTATAATACAAAAATATTTAATATATTTGAAAATATTTTTTGTGTATTGCACGTGTCAAAATACTAATTTTTTTTATACATTTTTCAACCCATAAACCAACAACCAACTTTTTTCGATTTCAAAAAGAAAACCTTGAGTTCCTCACCATAAATTACCAAAGTTTTCGACTTGATTTCTTTCAACTCCTCCACCTGAAACATTTCCTTTGATATACCATAAAAGCCATTTTTAACTTATGTTCATGCTTGGTTCCGATCAAATTTTCTATTGATGAAATGTTTACTTTTATATTTCTTCTATAACAATGATGGATTGTTCATCTTCTTTATCGGCATACCTTATTATTTGTTGTGTTTGAGATTATTCTTAATCTTTTTTTTCCTCCCTCTTCACTGAAACATGATTTTGACGTGTCACATACTTTTTTTCACTACATTTTTCATCGTAATGCCTACTTAAGATCCTTGATCAATGATAGGATTGTAACTTATATGAAAAACGAGAGTATACAAAATTAGATATATTTGGATTAGTGAGTAAATGGTAATCAAGCATGAAATAAAAACGGGAATTCACGATGAGTTCATTTTGTTTTGGTTCCATTGAATTGAGAATAATTGAGAGGTTGGTGTAGAATGAAAGAATTTTATTGGAATAAAAAGGATAGAAATATGGTAAAGGATTTAATTGAAGTAAGAATGAGAGGAAGTTGTGTAAAATAAAATAAGCCACCTCTTATTCATAGTTGATCCTTACTTTTCAAATAAAAGATTCAACCCTTGTTAACATTCATCTAGTTAGGAAGCGTGGAGGTTTTAAGCTTAAAAATAATTAATTTTTCTAAACATATTTTTAATTATAAGAATCCATGCTTAAAGAAGCTATTTATACTTAATATCCTATCTTAATATAACATTCAAGAAGTCTATGTCCTTCCTTTACAGCTGGAGGTCATACCTCCCCAACTAGCTAGCAACAACTTGAAGTGGACAAACATGTTGATGAAAACACAAACAAACAATATTTAGAACAAGTACCCTGTCTTTTAAATTAAAGTCAGAATTGAATGAAAAACAAGGGATAAAGTGATTGCACCATTGACCCGTGGTTTCATCCAAACAAATCAACCAACCAACCTTCAAACATTAATATGCAAATGGAGCATAGTGGAACTAGCACTAGCAAGGTATGTCGGATTTTTAACATTTAAGATCACGATTAGATACGGATCTTGAAAATCTGTAAAATGGATTATAGAATAAAAGAACAATTATCAAAAATTAATATAAGTGAGACGAACTCATAAACTAATGAGCACAACTGTTTTTTGAAGTCATAAATTATGTTTTACAAGAATAACACTTTTAATTAAAATATATAATAGCCATTATATATAAGGCGAAAATTAGTTTTATAAGTATGACTTAAATTTTAAAATGATCATTAAGCAAAATATTGTATCTATTTAGGACATAGATAAGTCTCTGTTTAAGACTTTCGTTTTTTAATCTTGCAACTTATATATTATGTGATAGCTGTCGAGTCTATAGTTTGCGGGGTAGCATTATTTTCCTCTGTAGTATAAAATTGATCGCATATGCTGCTGGTTATGCATATATAATATTAAGAATATACACGAAAAAGAACTACTTTGGAAAAAGAACCACTTTGGCAAAAAGGATAAGTCTGAAAAGCATTCAATTAACGAAATCCTTAGTGGTCCGCTACTAAATTTCAAGGCAAATAAAGGTACACTGTTCTACGACCATAGTACCATAATGATATGGGCGACTTGGAACACAGCTATATATGTTTAAGAAATAAAACAAAAGAGCATATGCTATATTCTATAAGAACTTGGCTAATGTCTAATTGTAGGGTTACATGTATACATGTCCTTTCGAAAGAGAGACAAGCTTAACAAACACAAACCCTACGTGTAGTAGACTACTAATGAAGGAGGAGGGTCATGTGAATGCAGCGGAAAGCGTGAAATGAAAGGCAGGGTTGTTGATGCTGTTGCTCTGCATGATTTATTCATGGGAGTGGGGCCTAACGGTGCGTTTTAAGTTCCAATTTCTGCAATGCTCTGTAAGGCTGGCTTCCATTGCCCACCAGAACCAACGAAATGTCTTCCAACACCTTTGTTATTGCTGCTGCTACTGCCATTGCTCTCCATTCGTTGAATCTCTTGTTCCACCTGACAATGAACAGAAAAAAGAAAAACTTTGGCATTGCGTTGGATAGGTTCACACGCCAAGAGATAAGAGCAAAATGACAAATCGTATTCATTCATGTAGTACAACAGATCACACCGTCACAGATGGTAGGCTTGAACAGACATTCAATCCATGTCTCTGAAACATTAATACTTTTATTCTTTTGTAATTGGCATGTGGATTGCATATTTTTCTGTCATAGAAAATAATTGTTCAACCTAATTGTTTGCTGGTAACATATAGGTTGTAAAATTTGGAGTTAGATAAGAAAAAAATACTCAAAAAAAAGAAATTTTACATCTTTAAAACAAGCAATACCAACTTAATAACTCGTCTACAATAGAACAATATATTAATAATTAAAAAATATAATTAAAATATTAATATATTAAATTAATACATGAGTGTTTTACTGTATGCGTGTAAAATTAACACTGTCCATTAATACTATTTGTATGCAGATATAAGGTTCTTCACTCATTCTTTCTTTAACTCTTTTCTTTTTGTTTAAAAAAGTCACTTAAAAGTTGAAAAGATGATATCTTTAACTAAAAGCATCCATATATCCTATGATTAGCTCAGAAGTGGTCCTGACACGCCTTTTGTAATTTGGTAGTGCTTTCATGAAGTGGAAACGTGAAGAAACTTAGAAAGAGATAAAAACCAGCCCAACAAAGACATGTATCGTTATTTGGATAGTGGAGCATGCATTGTTTGACGTACTTTCCTAATTTACCACTGCATGCTCGACTAGACATTGTTTTATTTCACACTCAAAATCAATTTCTTTTCTTACACACGTCCTCATTCACCATTTCTTGCTAAAATCAATTTACACACATTTTAATTATGCTCAATGCTTCAAAATCGATTATGCTAAAATTAATTTGGCTTCATTTTAATCCAAACATCTAACCATATAACATATATAATTTTTTATTTTATCAAAATTATTTGTTCCTAGTTTTAAGACAAGCGTATGCTGAATTATTATGATCCCTATTAGTGTTGTTCACTTGTACGTTTCAGAAAAAAAGTTTTACCATTTTCTGTAACCATATGACATACAAATTAGGTAATAGTAGAATAAAATTAGACATTGCAACAAAAAGGGTTTTAGTAAGACGCAACGACAAATTAGGAATCGAGTTTAATGAGAACAGCCTTAACGCAAGATCTGTAGAAGCCATGGATCGATTGTGGATGACTGCCAAATATCGTATAGCACAACAAACTTGCAACTAAAATAAACAATCATTACATGCACTCACCACCAGTGTCTCTGTCCCAACTAAAAGTGAGGAATATTTATAACCAAACTTGTAAAAAAAGAAAATCACCCTCGAGATCCGTACTTAAATAAATAATGATCAAATTCTGCCAATGTACCGAAGATATGGGTTTTTATGAATTTAAAACATGCAAACAGAGCAATGGAAAAAGTATGATAAAGTTCCTTTATTCATGTCTTATTCAGAGAAAAGAAAAACGCCGTACCTAATCGTTCCAATTGGACAATGCCTTAAAGATAAGGAAATGAAAAGGAAAAGGCAATACTATCCTTCCAACATGATATTCATAATCATAATCATAACCATCCCCATACAAGCATGCATACGAGTCTAATATTTTCAAACCAATTTAACTAGTTGCACGAGAGAAACCAAGGGAAAAAATTGAAACATGATTACCTTACTGGAACTGTATTCATTTTTGGAAGTCAGGCTAGGATTTGAAGCTCTGTTATCTCTGTGCTTCATCTGAACGCCATGACCCCCTGTTTCCTTCAGCAATTTCCCGAGTTTGCCACATTTCTTGGAAGCAAACTCCTTCAACACATCTATGGCCCACCAAAACACACACACCCACAATCAATTTTTAATTTTTTTTTGTATAAAGAAACAAAGACAAGCAAGAATACGAGGTAATAATCTATTATACCTTCGAAACTGATCAAGCGATAAACCTGGCCAATATGCAAAGTATCATCGGGTCGGAGAAGCTTAAGTTGTTTCATTGGTGTGCCATTGTCGGACTTAACTGTAGGTGAGGGCACGACCAGTGCAACATAGTGACCAGGGTTGGAGTCCATAACCTGGTGTGCGCTAAGCGACCAATAAATCCTCTCGACCTTGTTCCCAGGGTGTTGAATCACAACCGTAGCCGCTTCCGCAGCTTGGCAATTCCCCATCGTTATTATTTCCAAACTCACCCTGAACTGGCTTGCAAACAGAACGATTGCTATGGAGGTTGTTGTTGTAGTGGAGAGGTGGGTGGTGGTGTGGTGGGTTTATCAATTTGAGTAGTAGAAATTTGAGAAATGAATATTATAATGAATCTGGTGGATACATGGTTTACGTTTCGAAGTGGGTGACGTTTGAAAGACACGTACAACACGGTAGGTGTCAGGAGAGGGAGGAGTAAGAGAGAGAGAGAGAGGGTATGTTTCTTTCTTCAGTTGTTTGGGTTTAGATATAAATGAACCTGACGCTCTTCCAGGTTCACTGACGCACGCCAAGAATCAAGGTGTGTTTGATGGATGTGACCGACGCGAACCCGAATCCGACAAATGCCCAGAATCTTTCTTTTCTTTGTTTTGTTAAATAAATGGAGAATTGGTAAGTTAGAAATGGTTGTGTGATGGTGGTGACAGCGTGGGTTTAGAGAAGTTTGGGGGATGTGAACAGGGAGAGGCGTGGCTAGAGAATTGAGTTGATGAAAGGTAAAAAAAGGAAGTATATATTATAGCAAAGCAAAGATGGGACAGTGGACATAAATAGAGATTGAGGATTTGAGTTGAGGCGTGTTGGATCTGCAAAACTCACCTGGGAGTCAAATTGAGCGTAACTTTGCTGTGTCTGCACTCTTTTATAATTGGAAAAGTAATTTTGCAAATGGGTTCGGTAGTCATTACTTTCCCTGCTCAGCTTCACTCGTGACCCATCTCTCATTCTGACCCACCACAACTTCAACGCCTTATCTTCAATTTTAAATTCTTAAATTCATCACCAGTTAAATTTGCTTTACCACATATAACTGATTCTTCGCTTTTATAGTTCCTTGTCACAAATTTCATGTGTGAAAAATGCGCCTATATTTTTCCATTTTATTACGTAGTTTGTTTCAATTGCATTTGTATATTTTAGTATTTAGGATTACTTATCAAAACCTCTCCTAACTAAATCTGCAACTTGGCGGAAGTGTGTGGTGGTGGAATTTTTGTATACGTTAATACTGTTAGTGACGGTCAGTTTTATTAATGTGCATGCATTAATAACTTTAAATGTTTTTTTTTCTCTTACGAAGAATGATGGAACTCCTTTAATTTTACGAGCCCAAAGACAAAAGTAATGCCCGTTGTATATTGTGTATAGACTATAGGTGGATTGAGTGTGTTGACGGACACAGTGTGATAGATTGATACGCAATGTAATGCAATGTTCCCTAAACGGGACGGTTCCGGGATTTGGTCATAATCCATGGCCAGCGAGCAGGATGCTCCTTTCTCATGTCTTGTACCTTGTTTTTTTGCTAGATTACAAAAAATATATATTAATAATTAGATTAAAGGTAAAACACAAATTATATTTTTTATATCAATAATATATTTTTAGAAATCTGTTGAAATACATAAATTTTATTCTAAAATTTTCATAAGGAATAGATTGTATTAATAAGATTTCGCTTCAAAATAACAAAACGGTATTCTATCCAAGAGAGATATGAAACTAAAACACTCATAATTGTGTTCTACTATTTCGTAAATTTCACAACTCTTCATTACCTCACCTTGTTTGTGATTAATTATAACAAGGGGCGTCATTCGTGATTTTTCTCTACTAATTAAATTATATAGATTCTATTTTTTTTTCCTATAGTTATAGCATGAATGGGATCTTATTAATGACCCAGATTCAAATTGATTACTGATAAGCAATTAGTCAAGTGAGATTTTCTTTATCAACAATATTAATTCTTAGTATTTATTAATTAAGAAAATTGAACCCATTATTCCTTCTACCATTTTTTCTAATTTTATTATTAAGCTAACCTTATATCTCCCTGAACAATTACACATGTATATATATACAAGACATTAGTTTTCGTTGTACCTTACCAACACTACAGGATATGGGTAAATGATATTCTACAAATTCATCGTCAGTCTGATATATAAAAGAGATTGACGATGGGTGAGTAAGGAATCTATCACTATAAATAAAATTTCTAAATATTATTTTTTATTTTTTATTTATATTTAATAAAACTATATTTTGGTTCACTGCTTTATTTTTTAATTACGCATAATTAAGTTAAGTTGTGATTCAAAAGCACGACTTTTAAATAAAATATAGCCGGAAACTTCGTTTGATTTTATTTATTTTTTATTATGACTATAATTAATGTCTCATTTACGTTGTCACCAATGCGACCCTGCGTGTGATTCTTGTAAGCAGTGACAATATCAATGCCAAAGTTTTTAATATAGTAACTCTACAAAAGGAAAATGATATGATAATGTTTCTTTATGAAGTCTATTTACAGGCAAAAATATATAATAATTATATCAGCATATTCAGTCATAGATTCAATTATGTTAGGAGTAGTGAAAATAAACGGGATAACATGAATGGTTGAAAGAAAATAAGAGAATATCGTGAATTCATCAATGACATGTACCTATGCTAGAGTCCTTATTTGGTATAGATTGAATAGGAGGACAAAGAACATAATTGATAGGGTTTAGATTCAATGAAGTAGTTGAGTGCTGTTTAGACATAACATTTATAGAAAAAATCTTAGTAATTAATACTAATTATTTTGGTAAATAAAACATTGATAACTAATGTTAATGACTAATTATAGTCTAATTAATTATTAATTATAGTTTTTATTTATAACAGTATCTATTTAAAAATTAATAATTTTTAGTTTAGAAAATAGTATTTAAATTAATTTGACTAATTATTTTTTATCTCTAAAATAGTTGCTATTTAAAGATATTTTTTGTAGTGATAGATATATTAAAAGTAAATTATATTTTAGATTTAGAATAAAAGAGATAACGTAGAATGTAGAAAGTCAACTATTATAAAGTCAACTTAATAAGATGTACAAATATTTATATATAGTATAAAATGCATAGAATGAAAAAAGAGACTTATAATTTATCGTGAAAGTAAATATATGAAATTAAAAACTATTATATAGGTGTTTGGGAGGTAAAATAATTTCTTAAATCCACATCAATTTATTCCTTAAATCAATAATTTTATAGTTACATGTTATTTGAATTTTAGATTAATGTAATTATCGATCTCCTGTCAATTATATATACTGGTATCGTTATCCCTTAAATAAAAGAATATTTTATTTTATAAATTTAGATTGACATTACTTTTATAAGTAATCACTAGACTTAAAAAAAATTCTGATAATTCATGCACGAGTATATATATTCTGTACACTTCCCTCGTAAGATTTTGATATTTACTCTTTTTTTATTATTTTTATGTATATTATAGTTTTTTAATATATGAATAATCAGTTTAAATCCTTTTAAAAGAAATAAAAACAGTTTAATTTGTATCGATTCAAGATAGTAAAATTGGATATATTTTGTCTTCACACAGTAACTATAAAGTTTATTTAAAATAAGTTATCTCGTTTTATTTCATCTTGCATTATTTTTTATATTTTCAAATAAAATTATTGATATTAACTGTTTTTATATTATAAATATATTTCTATATTATTAATATAGAAAATATATATTAAATATGTCTTCCATATATTTTGAGAACAATTCATAATGAGTAAGTTAGGTGTAATAGTCTGAACAATGTTACCTATATGAATAATCTTCATCTAAGAAGAGATATGACAATAATTATTTTAATAACGGGTTTCGGTTTCTATAATTGAAATATATTAAAATAATGTAAAAAAGAGGACTTTTGGCATAAATTATTAACTGAAACAAAAAACTTAACAATTTGTTTGGTTAAGAAAACCGAAACAATAAACAAAAAAATGTTTCTTTAGCCTCGATTCTACTCATGATTAATTTCATATATCTTTTATGATTTAAAATAATTATATAATTTTAAAGGTATTGGTCTCAAACAAAAGTTTTTATGCCAACATTTTATGTCCTCTAATTTTTCTTCTTCCAGTTGAACTTTTATGGTGGAATTGACAACATGTTCAGTTCGATTTGGAAAGTCTATTAATTTGTTATGTCATCTATGTTGTATAACTTTGAAAAAAAACCATAAGAGATAAATTGTTCCCTAATTTTGGTCGCGTTGAACTTTCTCTCATTCAAATCATTGACAAAAATATATATAAACTTCACTTCATTATCACTTCTACTCGCATTACATTGCGCAAATTATATAAGTTCTTATAGTGCTCTCTCATACTCAACACTAATGCGGGATGAGTTAATCCAATGTATATATATTGAAATTGTTCATACAGTTTTCATTATCTTTAAATGAATTATCACCTCAATCGTTTTTGTATTCAAGGTTTGACCATATCCCATTTAAGAAGATTCACTTATTTAATTTATTGTGCATATTAATTTTAAAACTAACATATCATAAATTTCACGAAATTTTGTTAATATTTTGCATTGGTATTCAAGTTAGATGAAATAAAAGTAATTATAATTCATAATCAATTATTGAGTTGAAGATCAATAAAAAATATTGTAAGCAAATATTCATGAATTTAAAATATATATATATATATATATATATATATATATATATATATATATATATAAAAGTGATTAATCTTCTTAAACTGTCAACTGGACAATTCAAGATTTAATACTTATATATTATCAGTAGTGACTCCTCTTATATTAACTTAAAAAAATGCATTTCTTATAAAAGTTGAGACAATATATAATTTTTTTTTATTGAATCTCAAACAGAAAACTAAGACTAATTCAACATAATAAGCATATAATTAATCACATATCCAACATTCAAGAAATAAACAACATACTAAAAAAATAATATGCTCATATAAAAACTAAATTTTCAAGATAATAATAGGAACATGAGAGCATGAAAGACGAACAACAATGGAGAATGATGCATCAATACCTGTGTTTTGGAGAACTGTTGTGACAGGACCTTCAATTAAAATTTATTTAAATGGTCTAGACAAATTCTTTCAACATCAATACAACATTCTAAGTGAGGTAGGTCACCACATATAGTCACTTTTTTATCTTTACATCTTAACAAAATTATAATAACATATTCATCTGAGGCATCATATTCATATTTGCTCCTAAACATCATACTTATATCAAACATCATATTCATCTTTGTTCCTAAACCATCAATAATGCAAAGCAAAGAACCAATAAACAAAGCAAGACACGAACAAAATATAAAAACACAAGCACAAAAAACACAAAAAAGAAACAATGAGAAACATGCTCACCATGGCAGCGGAGACGACGAATGACACAAGCAACACAACAAAGAACGAAAGGTGTGAGGACGTAGTGATGGTGGCATTTAGAGAGGTAGTGAATCGATGTAGTGACGCGGTGTTGATATGAGGAGATGAAAGAAAGAAGAAAACTCCAATATCTATTCTATGACATTGATTATTCGTAAAACCGAAATCTAAAGGGTAGTATAAATAAAAAATTATAAATTTTAATAGTTGAAATTTTAACCAACATTTTGGCCTCGGTTGTTCACTAAATCGAAACAAAAAATACATATGACATCAGTTGTTCAAAAAATTAAGGTCATGTCTTATTCAGAAAAATAAAAAGAAATAGTAATTTTGAAATTTT